GAAGACTCCCAGCATAGGATCAGAACATTTGCAGAAATGCAGGTAATTGGCATCCCAGAATGGCAGCTGCCTCAGCCACATCACGTGAATGGCACAGGATCAGTGTCTAAGTTCATTCAGCAAGAATCTGTTCAGTAAGTCAATTATACAGAAAAAAAGACAACAGTAACAAAATTGGTAACAACCTCTAAGCTCCACATCCCATTGCTGGTCTCACAGGAACCACAATAGAGATGAGGAACTGAGAACAGCAGCCAAATTCTCCAGTTGGAAAAGTAGGCATAATAAATTATTTCAAACTCACTGCATCCATTTGTACTATGGATGTACTTAAAAGGGAAAAAAAGGAGAAGGAATCAGAATGTGTTTCCTTCAGAGGGGGGAGCAGTGATACTCAATATATACATGTAACCTGAAAAGATTTCCCTTGCCTAGATTAATTTGTAGCTGAAGGCTGTTACAGTAAGAGATGATCAGTCAGATGGCAGATATTCTTGCTTAAAGGTCTGTGCCATCAGGAACTGGGCTTGACATTGAAGCATTTTTATTTATTCTGTGCAAAGAAGGATCAGCTTGAAAAAGATTATTCATGGGTGGCAGTTATGTATTAGATGCATATAAACAGCAAATTACATTTCTGTGCTCTCGAAGTGGATATTAAGAAAGTAGAATTGGCCTGACCACTCACTTGTCTTTACAGACACTAAGTGATTGAACAACTCCATCCTTCTTCTGGTGACAAATACCTGGGACTATCTTTGAACCAAACAGAATTTGTAGTCTGTAGGCTCTAGTGAGCTTGGGAAGGGGGTAAAGAGACAAATTTCATTAGCCTGTGTTACATTTATTTCCTTCTTCTGTATATTTTTTTTGCTTCTCCATACAGAACAGAAAAAAATACGTGCACATGGTCAGCAGGTTATAAAAAAATACATTAATACTCTCTTCCTCAGCTTCCTTCTCAGTAACTCCACTGTAAATTAGAGCTCCATAGGTCTACAGCCACAATTCTTAAAAACTTTAAAGGAGCTTGGCTTTGACAAGATCAATATTTACACACAGATGTCCTGGTTTTGGCTGGGATAGAACTAACTTTCTTCACAGTAGCTGGTATGGGGCTGTGTTTTGGATTTGTGCTGGAAACAGTGATGATAGCACAGGGAAGATTTAGCTATTGCTGAGCAGAGTTTACACAGAGTCAAGGGCTTTTCTGCTCCTCATACTGCCCCATCAGGCAAGGAGGCTAGGAGTGCACAAAGATTTGGGAGGGGACACAGCCAGGACCGCTGACCCCAACTGGACCATATTCCAGACCATATGGTGTCATGGGCAGCATATAAAGCTGGGGGAAGCGGGATGGGGTGATGTTCAGAGTGACAGTGTTTGTCTTCCCCAGTTACTGTAACACCTGTCTGACTATGAGAACTGGGGATTGAAGTCCTTGTTTTGCTTGGCTTGTGTGTGGGAGGGGACACAGCCAGGACCGCTGACCCCAACTGGACCATATTCCAGACCATATGGTGTCATGGGCAGCATATAAAGCTGGGGGAAGCGGGATGGGGTGATGTTCAGAGTGACAGTGTTTGTCTTCCCCAGTTACTGTAACACCTGTCTGACTATGAGAACTGGGGATTGAAGTCCTTGTTTTGCTTGGCTTGTGTGCATGAGTTTTCACCTGTCATGTCATAGTGCTGGTGAGGTCTTATGCCTGCCCTGGCATGGTACAGTGTGCTTTGTGTGGTGCTTAGTTACTGGCTGGGGTTAAATCACAACAACAGAGAACAGTCTAATTAAAGATTACACTTTTCCAGGTGGCCTAGATACTGAAAATTCCTCCCTCTGCCAAGATATGTCATATTCTCTACAAAATAATTAGCATTTTTAAACTATTGTTACCGAACAATACCTTTTCTGGTGGTAACTTTCTTTATAAACATATGGGACAAGGAGCGATTAGATAATGCTACCATTTTGTCTTTTACAAAACCCCAAGTGGGACAGCAATCTCTTGGGTTCATTCTTGGTAATGCTCATTAGGAGCTATGTAATATGCTTTTGCCCTTCATCTTCTGTGTTTAACTCCTTGAAAATACACCTAAAACTTCCTGTGCCCATTAAACTGTCTTTTCTTAAAATTCCCCATGTCAGTGGACAGAGCAAGCTGGTTCTAAAGACTTATATCTGTCACCCATAATAAAACGGGCAAGATTAAGATCAAATACATCTGACTGATTAAGTAACATACAATGGTGGTTTCTTTTAATTCTCACCAATACAGTTAAATATAGGCTACAAACAGCTCCTGCATTACTAAGACTCTGGGATCTGAAACTAATTTGTTTGTTCACTGCATCTTCTTACACTGTTTGAATCTGATGGCATAGTTTAGGCAGGGGACACACACCTGGACTCCTAGGCCTCATTCACAGAAATATCACAATCTTCTAACATAATGTCTTAGGGAAGTCACACAAACATTACTTGCTGTTGGATTAACAGCATTTAATAGCAAGAGTGCTAGTAAATCCATTGCTGTTGCACCATTTATACCATACTAGGCAGCAAGTTACAGTAATTTCTGTAAAGCACTGATATGTTATTGACTTGTGAACTACTTTTCCAAGTTTAATATAGTGGTTAAATCCTATTAATTCTTGTTAAAACATGGGTTCTTCTTTAAATGTCAAACTAAGCTCAATATCTGAATGCTTAGACATATCTTTTAACAGTTTCGCCTCTTGTTAAAACTTCTGTAGCTCAAAAGAAAAACATCTGAGCTTCCTCAGTTTGACTGATTTTACTGTACAGTTTTTGCTATTTTGTGGTTACAACCTTACAAATTAAGACTGCTTTGACATAAGCCGGGGCAGAATTTTAGGTCAGGAAAACCTTTGAAAGCTCAAACTGTGTTTCCAGCACACTCAAATGTTAACACTAGCATAGACGTTCACATTTGCAAAATGCTACGTTTGACTGACTGGCCCACTAGCCAAAACCAGCATTAACTTGTCATCTTACCTATCTTATTCCTGAGTAAGCACAGGCCAAATTTACTACAAGTATAGCACTTGCTGTTGCCTTTGGAGAAATTAAATTTAAATGCCTTTCTATTTCCATACAGTTTCTGATGTTTGAAGAGAAGTATACCCAGACTCCCTAGTAGAGAGCAGAGTCAAATAAAGGCATGTGACAGGAAAAGAACCACAAACAGATATAGTTAAAGAACCCAGAATGTACATAAAAAGCACACAATAGACAGTGCCATATCAAATCCATCCTGTAAAACAGAAGTAAAATCAATCAGCAATAATGTGGGAAACTGCCTGGCTTTTGAGACAGAAAGAGCAAAATTCAAGAATCTAAGATGCAAGATGGGAAGTTCTCAAGGCCTGCCTAAACACAAGAGTGAACCAGTAGAAACAAATTCTAGAAAGTATTCTATATCACATGGCTACTGGAAAATGTGCTATTCGTAATATTAAAAAAAGTGAAGTGCACAAATTGTAATACCTCAAAAATGGTTAGATGTTATAATCTACGTCCCACAACAACAAATATCTAGAGAAACATAGAATAGCTTAAAACTTCAGTCATAGTCTTAATAGACTGTTAATAACAAAATTTAAATTTTTTAATGTCATTTATTTGTAACTACTGCCTTTGTTGGAATTGAGATTTCATACGGCATAATTTAACCTGCTACTGAGTAAAAGAACTTTTGCTTATCTCCACTTTGTAGATTTAAAATCAGGAAAAATGATCAGTCTCAACTGTGCATTTTTTTTCCTTCTACAATGTATAATTAATGGCAAAGTTAGGAATAGATAAGAGACTGAATTACTGTACACTTTATCAATGAACGGTTTATACTTCATTTTCCTCCATTTCTCCCCCTTTTTCCCTTCTGAAACCAGACAATCAATCAGCACATAAAGGAACTCCTTTACATGGAACACTGCCACACTTGTCTTTGCTGGGCCATCATTTCATGAACCACCCAGGATGTATGGCTGTTGAAGGTTGGTACATACACAGATTTAACAAATAACAGTTCTTACGCAGAGAGCAGTCACAGAGAAAAATAGCTAATCAAAACACATTACAACATTTTCACTTTTTATGAAAGGAGTAAAGATGCTTTTAAATATATTTACAGTTAGAAAAAGGACTTAGGATTACTACAAGTCAAAATTATTTAGAAATTATGAAAGTGAAGTTCATTTAAATTGTAATATTATGAACAGAGTCAAATGCCGTAATTTACTTAGAATTTGTCTACTCTGCTGTCAGTATTGTCACATCCCTTTAATTACAACCAGGCAAAAATTATCTTAAGTTTGCTTAATGCTAAAACAAGCATCTTTGCAATGTAAATGCTAGCAACATAAGAGTTCAGTTAAAACCACCACAGCTCACTGTTTAAATCCTAGCTGACTTTGTGTTGTATCTGCAGATAGAAATTGCTTTTCTGTATCTTGTTCCATAAAGAATAGTTAGACTTTTCTGCATTATTTTTGATTAGAACCATACTAGTACCACATTTTTGAGATTATTCTCTAGAGACAGTAAAATCCACTCCATCCTCCCTTCCAAACCAAATGGCTACTTATTTCTGAAGATAGAGACCTCTTGTTCGCAATGCTGGGTGGTTTATTCACAAAAACGTCAACGAAAATATATTTTCCCATTTAGTGAATTACTGGTAACAGATTATTTGTTTGCAAGGAATTCTGAAATGTGTCATTCATTACCTTCTAAATCAGAAACACATTTCATATAACTTCTTGCAATGAGATTTGCTATCATTAAACTGCTTACTTTAAACAGTTTCAGCTCTCTTGTAATCCATTACACCAGTATAGTCTGCAAATAGTCCCACCTAAAAATAAAATATAAAAAAATAAAGTTAAGAAGCATGTATTTCTCTTTTAAAAACTAGTGTATGTTATTCTGAACACCAGCCCAGCCCCAAACACATTTAAGAACCTTAAAAAGCATTGTTTCACAGACACTAAGATTTGGCCAGGTAACAGCAATGAACAGACATCCTATTTAGTAAGATAAAGCAGAATACATAATAAACAGATCAGTAGTTATCCATCTGAAATAGCCTATAATTAACATTTGATGTCTAAAAAGTTTAAACAGCAACACCAAGGAATGAGGTATGTATGTTCTCAGATATCACATCAGACTCTCATTTTATGCAACTAACTGTATTTCACAACTAGCATCTTACAAAATAGAACAGTACCATTGTGCCTGTAGAAGTACTGCATTAAGAACAGAAAAATACATTACTACAAGAAACCACCAAACATCACAACTGTCAGGGGCTACAAAAATCCATTGTTTGAAGCTGTTAAGAAGACATATCATACGTTGGTAATAATTTGGGGCTGGATTCACTACCAAGAAGGTCCATCCAAATTTTACATGGGCTTCAAAATATATTTACTTTGAATTAAAAAGAAAATGCTCACAGGAGTGTAAGTGCACTACTAAAAGGAGCTAAATGGACCTTCGTACTGAACCAGAATCTCTAATTTAAAAATCTATACATGAATTGTATGTATGTATCAAAACACTTATTGGTTGTAAACAAAAATGCAAAATCTGTATTCACAAAAATATTTTATTGGTAATTTTACATAATACCAGATGGGATTGTAAATAGTTCTGCTCTGTATCAGTATATTGCTAAGTGCATAAATGTTGACAGTTTATGCCATAAAGTAGGATACTGAGTTTTTTCTACAGGATTTATGACATAATAGATTCCAATAGGCCAAATCAATATTAAAAAAATTGATTCAGGAACAAAAAAATAATAGTACTGTTATTTCCTTATTCTTGTGCAACACCTGATATTCCTGTAATGAAATTATAAAGTGACTATGCTACACTAGAAAAACGCGGGGCAAGGAAACAGCGCTAAGCAGAAATGAGATCTGCACTTCTGTTATTTTTAAAGCTTTTCCAAACTTTCATATTTCCCAATGTTAGTTTCTGCCAATGTGTTGTCATCTGAGGTTCAGCATTTGTTACACAACACAGAATACCAGTGTACAGCGACAATGAAGCAGTTTACCTGAATTGCAAGGGTAACCAATCAATGCTTAGAACACATTTTCTATTTTGCTTGTAAACATTACAATAAGTGTTTTAAGTGTCAAAAAATATTGGTAAAACCATCAACATAATTCAGAAACAGTAATCTAGTAAAATGTGTCAAACATTGGCAAAAATTTATACAAATGTTTTTATAATAACATTTTTCCTATTTAACCACACCAAGTACCAGCAGGTGTTTTTAAGAAGATAATTATGAAAATTCTGTTGCAGCAATAGTTGATTAAGTTGATCTTTGACTTGCATACATATAACTATGTTCCACAATTCTCAAATAAGACATATTTAGGCAGCTTGAACTATGTTATAAAAATTCCGTACATGCCAATAGGAGACACTTTGAGAGTTGTGTTAGAATTCACAAAACTAAAAGTGAAAATGGACATACCAATAACACTGCATAATGAACATTCAAACCACATTTTCATGGCACCCTTACACATGAAAATTAAAAAGTTGGTCTGAAAATGCTTTGCAAGCATTTGTAGATTGCATTTAAATTATTGTTTCTACCACTGCACTTTTTTTCTTTTTTTTTAACTGCATAAATTATGTTCCAGTCAACATACCAATTATGCATGAATAATCTGTCATGAAAATGTGGTAACAGGTGACAGAAGCTATGTATTTGCATGTCTTGAAGAGAAGAGACTAAAGAAACTGGAGGAAATAAACTTTAATGAGATTCCCCATTCAGTGATGATGCTTCTCCTCTGGGTGAAGATGACCTGGACATTCCCCTCTCTGTGTTGTCAGAGCTAGAACCACTCTGACTGTGCTGATCTGCAGAAGCAGCACTGGAAGCAGGTGGTGACTTAGTCTTCTCCTTAAAGTCTGTAATTATGACTGTCAGGTCGCCAACGGTAACTTCCAAATGCTGAGCGCTACTTCGATCCACATTTTTCAACCTTGGCCTAAATAAAGCAAATAATCATATTAAAAGCACACACACCATCTTATTTGTCTCCCTCCTGCTTTCTAGGAGCTGTGGGGTACATATGACTGCTCTGTGCAATGCCTAATACATAGGAAAACAATGTACCGCAAGTATTTCTGGTGGAGTGTTTCCTAGTATGTTTTACATTGAAATTGCTGAACATAACACATTCCCCTCTCCTAAAATTATTTAAAAGCTGACACTATGAATAATGCCACTGTGCAGTGATATGGATGTGTTGCACATATGAAGGTTTTTACTTTTAAAACTTAAGTCTTTCTTGACTGTGACTATAGAAAGTTACAAATGTGATTCAGTGAACCATCCACCTCTGCAGTGTCTCTGCAGTTCAATAATGCAGGTGTTGGTGTCTTTTGAATTCAACAGCACAGGTAGTGTTAACTTGCAGCAGGTGTTACCTAATTTCAAAACCTCACTAGGACCACTAGCATCCTATTTGAACTGGACTTTGTGTCCACAGTATAACTCCGCTATTCCTGCCATATGATGTGATTTAAATTATGCATAATATACACATAATTTTAAATTATGTGCATGACACACAGTGTTGACAGTCAGTCCCTTCATCTAATCTTTCAACTGTTTGATTTTTCACAATAAAAATCCCGAAGAACACTTTGACTTACATTTCACCATCCTAGTTTTGCTAGTGACGAGCATAAAGTACTTTCAATTTAGAGCTTTTCTTTGACCACCATGAAAAACTGTGACCAGACAATTCAGGTGTTATGAACAGCACAGTTTGTGTACTTAACTGACTCCACAGCTATCACTAGCACAAGCTGCAATAAAATAATGACATCACATCTTTGCAGGTGTGCTAACAGCAAAGCCCTAACCTTTACTCTATCATCTGACTTAGTCTCAAGTAGAATTGGTTCCCATTCACTTCAGCTGAAACACCTCATGCCCTTCCTCCCCTAGAATTGAGAGAGCCTTTGACATCTTGTTCCCCTGAGGCTGAAGCAGTGTAACTGAAGAATTTAAGAGAAAACTGAAAACCTGCTGCTCTGCAGTGTGGGAATGGAGAGAAAAATTCAGCATTATAAACCTGCATAAGTGCCATGCCTGGAGCTTATTAATCATATTGAGTGTGCATGCAGATTATTTATTTCCAGCAATAGTATACACATTTTAAGGCAAAAAGATAAGGATATCCTTTTCCCAAAGGATACTGAAGAAATATGCTTATACTACTCAAGCATTCTTCACTTACTATCCCACCTAGTGAAGTAATTCTTTAAAAAATTGACTGTTTGAACAAAGCAGTAAAAAATAGCAATTCTTAGTGCAAGATAATACTGGTACTTCAGACCAAGATTTT